TTTAAAAGGTCAGGCATTGCGCAGTGCTCACAACCTGGTAAACCCAGCCACTTTGGGAGGCTGAGGGGGGTAAATCCCCTGGAGGGTCCAGGAGTTCAGACCAGCTTTTAGTAGAGACGGGGTTTCACCATGTTAGCCAGGATGGTCTTGATCTCCTGACCTCGTGATCTGCCCGCCTCGGTCTCCTAAAGTGCTGGGATTACAGGTGTGAGTCACTGCGTCCGGCCTGTAATTATTTTTAATAATTACTTAAAAATTATTCATAATTCCATTTTTAAATTATTTGTAGTTCATTTAAAAATAATAAACCCTTATATATTTACATGTTTTATGAAAATAGCTGTATTTTCTAAAATGAACAACAACAAAAAATGAGTGAGAAGAATGGCATAGTTTCAATTTTTGCAAATCTCTTTAGTGTCTTCCTTAATAGAAGACAGCTGGCTTCTCGTATCTGCTTCTGCAGTCTGTCTATTGCAGCGTGGCGTGTCGTGAGGTCTTTGGAAAACTCCACCGTGCACAGAGAAGAGAAAGAGTGAAAAAGGCAAATATCCTCTTAGTATTGTTATGAAACTAGTTTTGACTTCACATACTCCCTGGTAAAGGCTTGGGGCCAGGAACCACACTTGGAACTGCTGCTGGGATGCAGTGATGGAGAAAGGGCTCACAGGAGCACAAGGCCTCAGAGAGGAGGAGTTAACTACGTGAAGCCTCCTGGCTTTAAAAAGCATGGAGATTGTTGCTGGGCGCGGTGTTTCCCACGTGTAATCCCAGCACTTTGGGAGGCCGAGGCGGGTGGATCACTTGAGGTCAGGAGTTCGAGGCCAGTCTGGCCAACATGGTGAAACCCTGTCTCTACTAAAAATACAAAAATTAACTGGGCATGGTGGCCCAGGCCTGAAGTCCCAGCTCCTTGGGAGGCTGAGGCAGGAGAATCGCTTGAACCCAGGAGGCCGAGGTTGCAGTGAGCTGAGATTGGGCCACTGCACTCCAGACTGGGCGACAAGAGTGAAACTCCATCTCAAAAACAAAACAAAAGCATGGAAATTGTACGACGTGCTTCACTGCGAATTCTGGTCCTGACTTGGTCTTAGAATAGCTGCGGGACTATGGACAGGTACCCTGCCCTCTCTGAACCTCAGTTTCCCGGTCTGCTTTATGAAAAGGGTGGCCTCTAACATTCCAGGCCGCGCCCCTCCCCCAGCCTTCCCCAAGCCTCTGGGAGGTTCCAGGAGGAATTTCAGAGCAACTCTTCCGTTTGCCAGCAGAAGGCGATGGAGACCAGCCTCGGCTGGACTACTTCCTCCCCAGAGGCCCTTCACCGCCTCCCCATCCAGACCCAAGGTTCCCTAGTGGTCCGGACGGTTTCCTTGGCATCGCTGGCACCAGGTATCTCAGGCCACCCAGGTTGTCCCAGGGAGGGGCTGGAGGCACCGAGAGCCCTTCATATTGACCCAGACACGTGGCCAGGTTGAGATGCTGGGATTCTCCCAAACCCAGTCTGGGAGGAGCTGGGGAGAAAGAAGAACGGGTTTGGGCAAAGACACTTCAGCCCCTCCCCCCACACACCCCGCTGGGCCTTTCGGTGGGAAACCACCCAGGAGCTGTTGACTTCTCACAGGGAAAGCCGGGCGGGGGTGGCCGGAAGGGAGCAAGACGGAGAGAGAGCTGCGCCAGCTCCCCGGGGACCGCCTGCCTGCAGGCGCGAGGCGGCGCTTGCATCAGCGCCTGCCAGGGCAGGGGCAGGGAGCGCGGCCACCGGCGACGTCAGTCGCTTTCCCAGAAGAATTCCACTTCCTGCGGCCGGGGCCCCGGCTGTGAGGGGGCGGGGGGGTGGTGGGTTGGTGTCGCAGGATGACACCACTGGTTTACTGCATCTTCTCAGTCACACACTGTTGCCTAGGAGACCAACAGCATCCTGGCCGCCTCAGTGAGGCTAACCCGCCCCCGGGAAGTGACCCGGGGCACGGCCCACTCAGGAAACCACTGGCTCTAGGGTGCAGGCCCCAGGAGACTAGGCCACCCACTACCGGTCCTGGATTCTGCCCTGGAGGCATCCGGTGGCCCACCTTCCATATTGTACCTGATTGTCAAGTTTTCAAAGCACACTTGCTGGAGGATGTTAGAAACAAGCCAGAGAAAACTAAAGCCCAGAGAAGGGCCCTAAGATAGCCTGTAACTGGGAGAGCTGACTTTTCAAGCCTCTGTGATTTGGTTTGGTTTGGTTTGGGTTGGATTGGGTTTTTTCTTACCTTTCTTGCCATAGATCAGTGTCTCACAAACCTCTTAAGAGTCAATGGCCCATCCGCTATCAGTGAAGCAATGTTTGCTTTATTTTGTTTGTTTGTTTGTTTGTTGTTGTTTCAGACACAGTCTTGATTTGTCACTCAGGCTGCAGTGCAGTGTCTTGATCTTGGCTCATTCAACCTCTGCCTCCCTGGTTCGATCCATTCTCTTGCCTCAGCTTCTCCAGTAGCTGGTATTACAGGTGCATACCACCACACTCGGCTAATTTTTTTTTTTTTTTAGAGAGACAAGGTTTCACCACGTTGGCCAGGCTGGTCTTGAACTCCTGACCTCAAGTGATCCACCCACCTTGGCCTCTCAAAGTGCTGGGATTACAGGTGTGACCCACCACACCTGGCTGCAATGTTTGTTTTAATTAATTTTGGCAAGTATTTCCTGAGCACCCCGAGTGTGCCAGGTGAAGAGACAGAGAAGGATAATAACAGTGCTAGCCAGCATATATTAAGTCTTGCAAAGCTGCACAGGCATGAACTTGTGGCTTAAACACAACCTTATGCGGTAGGTGTTATCCCCATTTTACAGAGTAGAATACCCAGTTAATGTGAGATCAGCTGGGAAGTAAAATCAAATCTGAGTCCTAAACTAGAAGTCTTTACCATTACCAGGCAGCCTTGCAGAACGTCAATTAACATGGCAGACAGGGCCCTTCTTCTTTGGAATTGATGCATTTTTACTGCATTTTAAGACCGTGCATTTAATCTTCAATTATGTGTTAATAATGTGAGATGAGGATAAAAGTAATTCCAAATAAGAAACATGTGATAACATCAATGCAACTAGCGTTGAGGCCTACATTGAGGTATGCCAAACACTGTGCCAAACCCACTACCATTATTACCTCATTTAATACAACTCTATGAGGTCAGTTCTATCACTTTGGTCCCTCCTTCGCAGATGAAGAGACTGAGGCACAGAGGTGAAGTAACTCATCCATGTCCCAAAGCTAGTAAATTAATGCTTAGTAATTAACAGAATAGTGTCCTGGTCCATGTAAACACTTAATACACTTGTACTCTGCTTTGGAAAGAATGGAGAGACTGCAGGGTATACAAACATCCCGGGAAAACCTCATTCATTTGGACCATTTCCATCTAGATTTTACTATAATTTGAAAGGAGCCTAGGGTCGTGTTTGTGTGTGTGTGTGTGTGTGTGTGTGTATGTGTGTATGTGTGTGTGTTTTCCTGCTTGCGGGGAAAAGCTAAGCAAATAGTACAAACAAAGTAAAAACATTTTTGTGGGGCATTTTAGAATTTAGAAGAGCTAGGGTGTGTTCAGGGTGGTATGGCGGTAGACACATTTTAGAATGTATAAAGCACTTTGCTACCCAGGAGTTAACTTTATCTTCACAGTCCCCCTGAGAAGTCATTAGAACTGGCCATCTTAGTCCCAGTCTGCAGGTGAACTCTGAGAAGCTTTCTAAAGAAGAATTTCTAACTACTAAAGAGAAAAAATGATCTTTAGGGACTCAAAAGTAAACTACCCACAATAGCTAAGATGTGAAAACAACAAATGAATGGATAAACGAAATGTAGTATGTACGTACAATGAAATATTCAGCCTTGGCCGGGCGCGGTGGCTCACGCCTGTAATCCCAGCACTTTGGGAGGCCGAGGCGGGCGGATCACAAGGTCAGGAGATCGAGACCATGGTGAAACCCCGTCTCTACTAAAAAAAAAAATACAAAAAATTAGCCGGGCGCGGTTGTGGGCGCCTGTAGTCCCAGCTACTCGGGAGGCTGAGGCAGGAGAATGGCGTGAACCTGGGAGGCGGAGCTTGCAGTGAGCCGAGATCGCGCCACTGCACTCCAGCCTGGGCGACAGAGCGAGACTCCGTCTCAAAAAAAAAAAAAAAAAAAAAAAAAAGAAAGAAATATTCAGCCTTAAAAAGGAATGAAATTCTGGTGAGTGCTACAATATGGATGAACATTGAAGGCATGATACTAAGTAAAATAAGTCAGACACAAAAGGACAGTATTATATGATTCCACTTATATGGGATACCTAGAATAGACAAATTTATAGATACAGAAGTAGAGTAGAGGTGCCAGGGCTGGAGGGAGAGAGAAATGGGGAGTTCTCATTTGATTAGAATTCAATGAACAATTTAATTGATGATGAATTGAAGGGGTGATGAACAAGCTCTAGGAATGGGTAGTGATGGTTGCACAACATTGTGAATGTACTTAATGCCTCTGAATTGTGCACTTAAAAGTGGTTAAAAGGTGGCTCATCCCTGTAATCCCAGGATTTTGGGAGGCTGAGATGGGTGGATCACTTGAGCCCGGGAGTTCGAGACCAGCCTGAGCAGCATAGTGAAATCCCATCTCTCCAAAAAATAAAAAAAAAAAATAGCTGGGTGTGGTGGCAGATGCCTGTAGTCCCAGCTTCGTGGGAGGCTGAGGTGGGAGAATTGATTGAGCCCTAGAGGGTGAGGCTGCAATAAACAGTGATCATACCACTGCACTCTAGCTTAGGTAACAGAGAGGAAATTCTGTCTCCAAAAAAAAAAAAAAAAAGTTAAAATGGTAAATTTTGTGTTATGTATATTTTACTACAATGAAAAATTTTAAGAAAAAAAAAGTAACCCACATAGCAAGCCCCATTCTCATCCAACTCTTTCTTTAAAAGGAGACTCCTGGGTACTTATTAAAGCAGAAGCAGCCTTAACTCAGGCCTGCACTTGAAAGCAAGAAAACACCATGCCTTTAAAAACTAGCTCACGAGTGTGTGTTTTCACTAAACACAGGAGGCTGGTATTCCCCTCAGGTATTCCAAGTGAACAAGATATGGCTGGTAGAGTGGAGAATTGGGAGGTGAGTCACTGGTTTGGCAGGTGACGTCACCATGAGGTGACCGTCTGTGTGGTGTGCCTCCCACCTCCCACGTCTCCCATTCTCTCCACTCAGGGGCGGCCAGGTCACCAGCTGGCTCAGCTGGAAGTCTATCTGTTCTGGTGTGATGTTTAGTGGGAAACATTCCTCTTTATGACTCAGTGACTCAGTATCCCAACAGATGGGTTCAGGAAGGCTCCAGTAGCTATAAAGCCAACTCCGAGGTGGAAACCTGGATGGCCAAGGAGGAGATGAAAGACATAAACCCTTGGGAAGGGAGAGGAGAGAGCTTGTTTTCTGTTTGTTGGAATGCTAAATATCTAAGAAGTAATGGAATGATTTAGGATAATAATTATTATCCTAAGACAACTCAGGAGACTGGCACACGGAAGGGGACAGTAAATATTTATTGAATGAAATATTCATTGATTATTATTTCAGAGGTATTCAACTGCAAGAACAATCCCAAACTATAAGTGAAAAACATAGATTCTCAACCGGGCACAGTGGCTCGCACCTGTAATCCTAGCACTTTGGGAGACCAAGGACGGTGGATCACTTGAGGTCAAGAATTCGAGACCAGCCTGGCCAACGTGGTGAAACCCTGTCTCTACTAAAAATACAAAATTAGCCAGGCGTGGTGGCACACACCTGTAATCCCAGATACTCAGGAGGGTGAAGCAGGAGAATCGCTTGAACCCAGGAGACAGAGGTTGCAGTGAGCCAAGATTGCACCACTATACTCCAGCCTGGGTGATAAGAGCGAAACTCCACCTCAAAAACAAAAAAAAAAAAAAAAGGAAAGAAAAAGAAAAACATATATTCTTACTTATGTCTCACCAACTCTAGTTTTCTCAAAGGGACACCAGAAATGGAGCTTGACATACTTTTGTGGAATTGACACAGGTTTGATGTGGACAACTATGATATTGACACAAAAAATCATGATGTTTATGCAGGTAATGAGGTCATTAATAAGTAGTAATGTGACGGGATTGTCTTGGACATGTTTGTACACTCATCTAGCAGTTGTTAGTAGAGGTACCATATCTATATAAGATGAAAGGAAGTGAGAAAGAGAAAGTATTTGCTTTATTTGTTTTTCCTTTTTTCTCTTTAGGCTGTATACTGTTGAGTCAATCTGGGGTGGTTTAAGGTACATGAGCCTCAGTATCAGACAAGCCTCAAATGAGTCAGTGAGGACTCTTAGTTGCAAGACAGAAATTGGATTCAAATTAGCTACAGGGGGA